AGTGCTGAATTCAACGCTGGTGGAGTACAGGCGCACGAGGCACGTGCCTCGTGCGCCTGTACTCCACCAGCGTTGAATTCAGCACTTCTCCGCCTTAGCACGTAATATACTATTCACTGTCCCAATCACTTTCTAGAATCAATTCGAGTCATAAAATATGGAACATAGGTAGAAACTGATCTTATCCTCCGTAGACTCACTTATTTACGGTTCATTGGAGGTAATTAATCACCCGCGTCGCCTTTCCACTTACTCGTTGATTATTCACATGTGAAGAACTATTCTTATTCCCTCTATAGAGGGAATTCCCAATGCGATTATTAACAAACAATTTTATTTCACATTCTGCATTATCCCCAGGCTATCTAGTTAGTCGAACCATAGATGTTTTCAAGGTATTTATGGCGTAGTCAAGGGGGGTCGAAAAAAGTTACGAAATTGATGATTTTTTTTCATACATTTTTGGATTTTTTCAAAACCGTTATACAAATCCCAGATGGCCTAGGAGAATGGATACAACACAGGATTTTGTTTAACAAATGCATTTGAACACAAATGCATTTCAAATCCTGAAATTTCTCACTTGGGTGGAGTTTTCATGGAGGAAGATAGAAAAAAATAACCCAAGTGGCCTAAGAGAATGGTTTAGACGGGATAATTAAAAAACTTATGAAAAATAGGAATTCTGCATGCACAACTTGGAATAGCGACAACGTCGAGGTTAGAAATCGTGGAGGGTAAGCGCGGCAAATACGAATGGAGTTGTGATGACACATTTTGCTATGGGAAGGAATATAACGGCTGAGTGCATCAGTGCTGCCAACTTGTACCTCGAACGGCATGACGTTATCAATTTCTATGTGCATATTAATTATTTTCCGATTACCCAAAAGACAAACTAGAAAAATAAAAAAAGGCTTGAAATATGTGGAAAGAAAAGTTATTAAAAAAATAATTCGAACACAAAAATGGTCGAACTGGATTGAAAGTTTGTAATTGAAATATCGTTTTTTTTCGCACGGAGAGAATTTTTTTTAGAAAAATTATAGTGCCAGCACGAGAAAAGAGGCGCAAAGTGACGGCCAGAAAAAATTCTAGTGCCGGCACTGGAAATTTCATTGGGAAAACGTGAATTTTTCCTGGTATTTCTGTGAAAATTTCACACAAATCCCCAGAAATGTTACCAGAAATACCAAGAAATTTTACCTTAACAGCACTAGAATTTTTCACAGCCAGTGGATTGTGATTTTTTCCAGTAATCGTACAATAATTTTTCTAGAAAATTTCTCTCCGTGCGTCATTCCGGCCGTAAGGCAGCGATTTACGTACGCGTAGCGTTTTTAACCGGAATGACAAAAAATATCATTCGACATACGGCCTAAAAAAAAATTTTCCAGCTCATATGATTGCAACCCTCGCCTTCGGCTCGGGCCGAAGTTTTTTTCGGCCGAATGACGAAACATAGTATTTTTGTTCAGCGATTGCTTTTCTGCGAAAGAACAACAGATTCCCCTCCATCTCACTTGCTACATGGTTACCCCGCAATAAATACTTTACGGCATAAATTAAATGGAAAACAGAATGCTATGCCATCTTTCAGCTTTCCAAACCTCTATACAAGGGAAACAGTTAAATAATTGTCAATGCACAAATTAAAAAATTCGGAGGCACACGGACTCGAACTCAGATGGGGTATATGATCCCACATCTCCAGTTTGTCCGCGGATAATGTAGAAGATGAATACACCGGTCCTAATAATGTCTTTCAGTTGTAATTTTATTTGATTTTAATCATTGATTCGTATATGTTGATAATATAATTGTCGTCACACTGTCCGGAAAACGGTATTTCGGACGCCATTTACAGATGGTGTAAAGGAATAGTAATTTTCCGGACTCACCTTCGGCTCGGACTCCAATTGTACTGGAGTAAAAAAAAAAAACATCGCAATAGTTCGGGACAAGATTTATTTCTGGTGATTTTCAAGTTTCCGAGCTCGGGAAGTATACAGTACCAATTCCCAGACGAGGACTCGTGAGAAGCAGTACAGAAAAATTTGCTTCGTCATTCAGCCGAAGAAACTTTCCTGACTGGTACACTGAGAAAAAAAAAAGTTCTTTGAGAAGTACGTCCTCATCTGTATCAAGAAACTCGTGGGTCGAAAATTGACAAGAAGAAAATATCTCACACTAAGAAAGAAAATATCTCACACTAATAAGAAACTTATCCCAAAGACGAGGATAATTTGTTTACGACAAGAAAGTGATTTCCAAAACCAAGTCTAGTTGAATCAATTAGTCAATAGTTATTGAGCTTCAAATCCAAAATATTTTAATACAAAACCACTTGATTTGGTTTGTGAAGTCGCTTTCTTGTAGTAAGCAAATAGCCACTCATTTTTCGGACAAGTCCGAACTCTCTTCGGGATACCTAAGTACTTTGGCTATTTTTTCTCTAGTGAAGTGCTCTTGTACGTCTGTAGTCTAATATCAGAGCTTTCATTTGAGCCCAATTTGACCTTAAGTTTTCGGACATTTTACGATGATTTTATTATTCAAACTTTGCAGGTCTGAAGTGGCATCTCGATATTGAACCGTTAGAAAACATTTTAAAAATCTGAAAAAGATGAGAAAGTTTACTTTTGGGAGGCAATATACACTTATACATGTCGCACGCTTTGCGATGAAAAAAAGCGTTCGACACTAGTGTGTACCACCATGCGTGTGGAGCAGGGTTTTGCACACGCGGGGTATGCGGAAAATGTCACTTAAGACAGCGTGATAAAAATATACATTTACAAATCATGTTTTCCTGTTGAAAATTTATTGGATATCTATGGACTGTGAAGTATGATAAATTCCAAATCAACAAGAATTCAAGATATGTCAGTTTCAGGAAATTACGTTCATGAACTGAGTGAAATCTGATTGTTACGGGATTAAAATTTTATTGTGCAATCAGATTGAGAATCCCATTGATAATATACCTAAACTTATCACTCAGCTGTATTTTCAGCGATTTAATCATAGATTCCCGATGATTACCATCCTAGTCCTTCAGAACTGTATGTCTATATTTATGTTCTTGTATAACTTATCGAATGTCGCAACATTGAATTTTCAGAAAATATTGGACGAGAGGTTAGATAAAAGGGTGGACGCTATGCTGCATGCGGGCCTTGTTGAGGAACTCCTGGATTTTCACGAGCGGTATAACAAACAGTGGATTGAAAGAAACTCGTAAGTTACTCACTTCTTCAAAGGATAACATCTGAGTATATTCGAATGAAAGTCCATCCAGTGGAATGGATTCCGGGGAAGTTATAATTTGGTTTTTGTGTTCAAATGAAAGAATTGTAATTGGTCAAATTCAAGTTGCCTATTTTTATATTATGATCACCAAATATGATCTACAAAATGAGAATGTGCAACTTTTAGATAATGACTGTACGTATGTGTACAGTCGAGCACTAAAGTTCGTAAACAAAATCCATAAAATGCAAGTTCAGGCTGCTCACGAACTTTAGTGCTCGATGTTTGTACCTGTATGTGTGTAGTCTTGGCATGCATACATATACACCAATCCAAAAGGGTTGACCCTTGTAGCCCTGCGGACCCTTGGGGCCTTTAGGGTCATTAGGGCTTCGCATTTGGCGATTGCAATGCTTCCATGCGGAAGCAAAAAAGAACTCGACCAAAATCCGATTGTTTTACTCTGCAAAAGTTGGCACCTTTAGGGTAGCTGGTGGGCTGGTACCAGTACCGCTCAGTGGGTAATACCGCCCACCCGTATTTCTCAGAATTGAGTGGAAAAAATTTTTCTTTTTTTTTATTATGCATATATTTGATAACAACAAGTAATTTCAACAGAAATTTTCAATTTTCTCCCGTGGAAATGTTAAAAAATTTAAGATCATTTCCTACCGAATTCTTAAAATATGTCGACCCTAGAATTTAAGACTTTTCAGATTTTCAGTTAGTCTATAATTGAATGGAGTGCGAAATATATGTTCGTTATACATTTCGACATAAATTCAGGATAATTTATTATTGTTCACGTGAAATCTTATTTAAAATGGAGCCAAAGAAGGAAACGAAAGATTTTAGATTATATTAAAGTTGCGGATGGTCGGGCTAGTCTCCCTTATGCTACCGAACTCAGTTTTGAGTTTTTGTAGCTCCCCCTGAGTTAAAGTTCGGATTAAATTTCCAGCCCGGCTTTTACAGCCAGTCTTAATCAATCCTAGACCTCCCTATTCGCTATTTGATCGTTTGTGGGGAATGCGGTCCCCCAACAACGTAATCTCGTCACGGCTAATGCCAGGCAGTCGCACAGAATATGCAGGCTGTCCTCTCTTTCCCCTGGACTCCTTCAGCCCCGAGGGTCCCCCGTTCCCTCTTCGGTCTGGTCCTATTCGTCCCAGAACCGTCGTTCGTTAACGCCCCAGGAAGCTGGTTATTGTTTTTTTGTATTTGTTTGATGGTGTCCATTTTTTGGTCCCACGAGGTTAACGCGCAGCCTTTGGCACGGTAGCTAAAAACTTGGCTTGAGAAGTTGGTTCGCGATGGAGCTTTAGGCTCACCGCCCGGTTCCCCGGTTGGCTTACCCTATTACCACGATTAGCCATTAGCTCCATTCTTTTCACTAGCCCCGTTCCAGTCCTCGGGTGTCTCTCGCCGATTTCTGTCTTGAGCCAGCTAGTCCGTCTGGCTGTCCTCCTATCCGCCACCCGGAGACGCGCTCGGTTGGTAACTCAACCCTGTTCTCTGCACCCTCCCACGGGGTTTAGAAACCCCGAGAAAAGAGTTGGTCTGCATTGCTCAAGTCAAGTCATCAACACAAGGTGGGCGGTATTGGACTAATGCCGGGCGGTATTACTCTCAGAGTTCGATTCCATCGCTCACTGGCCGATGGCAATTAAATTACATAATTAAATATGTTTAATGCTAATAAAAACTCTGTCCACTTCTCATCTTTGACTAAACATCTCGAAGAACCCATTTCAACCGTTTATTCCAACCGTTCCTTGTAGTGTAGGAGGCTGAAAAAAAGACTCATTTCCCTTAGGTAGGCGGTACACGCACCTGCTTCCCTATTCGTTCACAACGAAGTTTTCGGAAAACATCCGAGAATTTTCAAGATCTCGGAGTATTGCTACCAGAAAGTTTATTTCTTTCTATATAATTGAATAAATTATTTTATATGATACGTGCGTGTAACCGCATGGGTTTCAGTTGACTATAGTCAACTG